CTTAGCAGCGGAAATTGCCCATACTACGAAATAAAGTTAATTATCTCGAAACTTTGCTCATTTGTTAATTTAGTTACTTGGAGGGTTGATGAGTTAATTGTCATAGTAAGATGTCTGGACAGTCTCTTGTCTCGTATGATTGGTACCTAGGTAGTCAATCAATCAGACAAGAAGGATAAGATGGGAATAACATGTAGCGCGCATGGAGAGGTAATAAATGCTTATCAAACTTTTCATAGAAAGCCCAAAATGGAATAAACATCTCGGAAGAACAATAAATCGATCCAGTAGCTCGTCTTTGCACTACACCCGAGTGAAAAAGCCATTTTGTTTGGTACATTACCTCGTCAGACAGCAAGCCGGTTAGTCAGTTAACTAGACTGTTCGTAAGGTAGTATGTTTGCGTCATATTGTGAATTAGGTTAATATTTTAATATTTTCCGTTAAATCACAATTTTTAATAAGATAATAAAATATAAAATATTTAAAATATCATTTCACGTTCCGCATCGAGTGATCGATTTAAAAAAATATATTAGACTGTTCGTATTATACGCCTACATTAGTTGATTATGAACTTTGTATAGTTTTTATACAGTTCGTTAATTTAGACAGCTACCTAGCTTCTTAATTAGGGTAGTACGTCAATTAATTAGTCGTAATGTCAATTAGTTACTTAGCTGATGTATTAGCATCTAGCCATCTTGTTTAGTTACTTATTAAAATCAGGCTTTATTTCATTAGTTCTTAAGCTACATCTGTCTGAGACCAGAGCTGACCAAAGTCACTTGTTTCAGGGCGGATGGGGTAAGCGAGGGTGGGACAAGTTCCATGGATCGTGGGGCAAACGAGACTCCGACCTCGACTTTGACGTCAACAGTCTAGACAACGACGTGGCGGATGAGGAACTGGTTGACGAGGAAAGCGGCGAGGACTTGAAGAGGGCCTGGAGTTCGCTGAAGGGAGGCTGGGGCAAGCGAGCTGCAGACTGGGCCAATTTCAGTTCTTTGTATGTCACCGGTTCCCAGACATGATTTTCTACACAAAAACCTAAACAGCGGTGTTCCACTACAAGCAAGAAAGGGGTAACGAAGGTAAAGATCTAGCATTCTGAAGACAACAGATACTCTCCGTGATTCGGCAAATTTACTTTCGTAGAAACGGCTCCCGGTACCCTCTGTGAATCCGTGCACGAGTCAAGGTCGGATACAGAGACATTCTAGACGTGATGGCGAAGGGAACAAGAGTATGTTGCCGAAAATCGAGTCCCAGTAATTTTACAGCTGGATCTCTCCATATCCAACATGTCACTATGAGCGTTGCATAAAATACCGATGTTAACATCTCACGTGTTCAGACGATAGATCTAATTTATCTGTTGTGAAACTGTAAGATTCGTCACATTCATTTAGGGCACTTGTCTTCATACAATACAATGTATTTCATGACGTCACGATGTAAGATCATTCTTCGTACGATCTTCCCATGAACTGATACTTCTCAACTGTGGCTATTTCCATGATATTTTTCAACAAAACTTAGTATGCATTTCTTGTGTGCCCGTATGTAATGCCCAGACGATACTGAATTAAAAATAAAACTGTGAAGCTACAGCAACTCATACAATGATCTTACTCGACACTAAATAAACTTCGTATTTTATACAGAGTCGTTAAATATTTTATTAGGCATTTAAATAGATGTCACGTCAGTATTGAAAAGGTTTATCTTTCAAGTTAGAAACCCATTTGTAACAAAACAGTGTAGAAAAGACAGACCATCGAACCGCCCTTAAAATGTGACCATGTTCTTTCCTATTAGTATTCCTGCGCCTGGAATAAGTTGAATTTGATTACCGATGAGAGAAAGTTGTAATAAACTTTCAGATTAGAGAAGCATGAATTCCGTGTTAGACCTACCAGCTTATCATGAAAGAATACTTACAATATATTCAGTGGGTCACCTAAATGTTGTCACCTGAAAATTCAAAGAAATGTTTACAACTTTTGCACAGAATACCATTTCAGAACACAAGTCTACGGTGTCACTGACGCATGAACCTGATCGCTATCATTAAATAATTTGTTAGGTAGCTCCCTAATTGGCTTGTGAGTCACTCAGTTTTGACTGCATAGATTCAGAACAATCGTAATGATTTCTTCAGAGAATTTCTTGTGTTGAAATACATGGGACCAGAAGTTTGTACTTGAACTTCACAGGTTCCTGGGGAAAACGAGATCCAGGCTGGAACAACTTGAAAGGGCTTTGGGGCAAACGTGCTGATACCAACTGGAACAGACTGTCTGCTGCGTGGGGCAAAAGGTCAATCGGAGGTAAGTTGGCACAGAATTACACCGGTCACTCTGAACTTGAGTTACGGCAACTACAGGTCATTCTGTTTGCCAGTTGCTTGCTATGCGTGCGAAACTTGGAATGCCACTCTAATTAAGTCGCAGTGAATGTGCTGATCGAAACAAGTATAAGTCGGAAGGGTATAATGAAGGGCATTAATATACTCCACTTGGAAGCTCCAGGCGTAGGTGGGAGAACAATAATAAATTAGATCTTAAGGAATTATGGTATAATTGGATGAGTTCAATGTCGGGCATATGTAAAAATGGCAATAAACCCTCGGTTTCCGTAAAATCTGATAATATCCTGACCAAATTTTCTTTCTGTGAAAGGTAAGAATTGTTGATTTCATGGCCTGTGTGCATGTGACATAGACGAAAAGATCTCAAAACACGCAAAGGCAAGTATCGGAAAGCGCCAGTCACCTTTTACTCGTCCTTAAGCATAAATAAGTAATCGATCTGAATAGTACAAGGTCTTCCTTTGACAATCGATACGTACTCAGATGTTCATGAAAATTTACAGCTCTTACGACAACGGAAGTAATTGCATAAGCTCCATTTTAAGCCAATTAAATTAATTTAGGTCATAAAAACCGTTTCATTTAAGATTCATTTCTTATTTATCGCTCATATCTGTGCCTTAGTGTTCAAAATTAACTCTCTACATGAGGTTTAACAAACCAGATTTTTCTCTTTCAGAGCATTTGCTCTTACTAACGAAACTGCGTAAATGTATTATGCGAAGTGGAGAGAATATAAAGATCTTCAATTTGTAATTTTTCGTAGTAACTTTAGTTATTTTGTTCAATTCATCTTAATAGTATAATTGCCTTGTGACTTAGCACCGTGATTTGAAGGTATTTAGTGGGCATGAAACAGAATCTCAGTGAATCTTAAATATCGACACTAGATTAAAGTCTGTGATTAGCTACACGCTCTGGCAGTTTTACTCCATCGCAATGTCAAATTGGGTGAACCACAGAGCCAGTCCAGACATCGTACAGGAGAGAAACTCTGCCTGCAATTGATCTCCGGTGTTCTAGCAAATATCTAGTCACTCTACTGACTGAGTTAACCCAGTTCACCACTTCGTATTTCTTGGGTATAATTAATATATCCCTCTACTTCATTTTCATATGCCTTCAGCATTTGTTCTCTCGGTCTTAAGACTTGTTTTCGTGCAAACAATAATTGCTTTCGAAGCTCGTTGTCCGAGATTCTACAGAACTCACTGACTCTGGAATATATTTCAGGTGGATACAAATCAAATGACCAATGGGCATTTGATTCCCGGGAGGGTAGAAATTTTTTATGAACCACAACGTCCACACAGGCTCTGGGGCTCATCCAGCCTCTTATCCAGTGGTAGCCGGGTAAGGCGGCCGGAATGTGAAGCTAACCAATCGATTATAACTAATGCTCTGATTAATAATCGGTGGAGCTTTACCTCAATTCCATCATACGTTAGCATTGCGTGGTACTTCGTTAAGTACCGGAAACAACCATATTTTCCAAAAGCAGATAATAAGAAATTTAATCCTACAACAAATATAACACCTTATATATTATTCCTTTGTAATTTGTTGAAATTTGTTATAATTAAGAACGTTACAAAGCAAATTCTTAGACCGTCATAAGTTGTTTTCATGAGTTACGATAAAGTTTCTTGTGATAAATCGTTTCATAGGAAATCTAGTAAGTTCGATTTGAGCATCAACATTTTTCCTGAGTCGATATGAATGAAATTTAAATTCAACTAATAAATTTCAAGCTACATTATTTCTTTAAATTTTCGCAGTAGCTGAATGGAATTAAATTTTCTCAGGCTCATAATGTGAACCGAGGTCGTCTCTGAAAAGCTGGAAGCACGTCAGTTCCTTACTGACATGGCTGATCACCCAAAAAAGGCTTCAGTGCAATTTCATGTCTAGAATATGGCTGTTTTCTGGAATTTTTGACCGAGTATCATGGCAGATATAAACCGACGTTTGAGACGAAGAGTACAAATATTTACTCATGACCCCGATTATTAACGCTGAGAGCTCTTCTGAAACATCGGACAATATCCACCACACTACACAGTGCATCGTCCCAGAAGACAGCCATCATACTAATCGTCATAAAAACCTGAAATCTCAATTCGTGTCTAGACTTTCGACAACAAATTTTACTGGAACTGGTCAGTAGTTTCAGAAACATAACATGCGGACTGTCTGGCGCCGTCTCCCAGTAGTGAGTTCGTTTCATGTGCACGGTGCAAAGAACGCGTGGAATTGTAAACTTCCACAGCAGTTTCCTCAGGACTCAAGGACAAAACCTACTCAGCAGAACGCTGTCAGTGCAGATATTGATCCAGAGACAGAATTGTCCTATTCGATTCTGAGAACAAACAATCCATGAAATTGTGAGTCCACTTTCATAAGAGGCCACTCTTTTACTGATTACGTCGTATGTTTCTACTTCATATTTTATTTGAGAAGCATAAAAGGATGTAAAAGTTATGAATCTAAAATGAACATAAGATCATAAATCCGTTCTGCATAGGAAGAAGAAATCTGCAAAGTTTAAACATTATGAAGATGTGTTTATCTTGTTTATTGCAAACAGGAAGTCTTTATTATGCGATTCATATTTCTGCAGATATAGGTTATAAAAAAATGTTTGCTACTATTTGTTGAACAATAACAATATCTAAAGACGTCTTAAATAAATGTGTAGGTGTTAATGCGGCCTACCTTTATGCTGTGTAGACGTTTTTTCCTACAAGGGCAACTTTTAAAAGCATACATAAATTTCCATTTGAGTTTCGTGTTATGATTCGATGATTCAAAAATGAAGACGGGGCAGAAATATTTCTCCGAAACACTGTAAAACAGCTGCAAGACTGACCAGCGTCACAACATTGACAATAGGTGGGAAGGTAAACACTTTTTAAGTGCGTTTTCAATCAGTCAGTAAGGCAGGTGGCCGGCTAGTGCGCGCTGCGTTACGTTTGGTGTTCGACGTCAGACAGCCGCTCTGTAAATTAGTCTACACGCTACTACAGACAAGCGTCACTTCAGTCAGTTAATCAGTTTTAAATATTATTATCGTATTTTCAATATTACGAATTTCAGTGTTTGCAAGGAAACCATAACACAGCAGTCGAATGCATAGTTGGCAATCCTGCTTCAGTTCGAGAGGTTCCGAATTTCATTCTCGGCTTGAAGATCGGCTAGCATGACGTTAAGTGACTGCTGATGTCTTCAGATACTCCGCCAAAATCCTGGGAATAAATTTCATAATCTAATCTCCCCGATTCCACACAAGTTCTATAATGCAATTAAGTCGAGAAGGCGTAATTAAATATACTAGGAAACAAAAACAATAAGGGGCAATATATATTTTTTATTCTTCAGACTTGGTGAATTTCTGTTCCAAATCTCAAAATTCGTCAAATCAGACCCAAGTCATTTTTTTTTGGATCAGACAGATGGACAGAAAAATGGACACAGCAAACACAGAAGTTGGAACAGAGGACTCAAAGAGAAGGCTGCGACTTTAAGCTCTGTCCATGGCAATGCGGCATGAACAGCCCCATTTCCCGCCCTCCTTCCGGCTCTCAGTTTTATTGATGTCAAGTCTAGGTGATGGATCGTCGCGAAATTCACGACACGCTTGACGAGATGCGACGCGATCTCTTCCTTCCCTCCATCACCCGTGACATATTACGGGGGTTGATTTACCCTCCGTGACAATCCCTTGCAAGATTCTCCTACATGGGACGTTTGAAAACATCCAGAAGAACGCGTTTAATATCAACGGGAAAAAAATTAATCTACTCGTATGTGCAAAACGCATTATGTTAACGAACTATGACCTACAGGCGAAACTATTACTAGAGATAAAAACTTAAAATTGTACACGAACACTAGGTCAGAGGCTAATGGCTTTTTTATGTATTTACCGCAGGAGCCGGACAGTTCGATAAAGTTGCTGACAGGACGACGGGGGTTCTGCTAAGGGCAGCTTTTTTTCTCTTTTCAAAAGCGTGAACACACAGATTTTTAAAAACGAATGCTATTGTTATTTCCCAATTGATGCGCTAAGCTCACCACTCACTTCCACGTGATGCCGAGATCAGGAGAGCATGAAGATATTCTTCCACGTAAATTACATCTTACTAGAATAGCTCTCACATACGGACACAGCATCACCTTCACTTTGTGTATACATACAACATGCGACTTAATCATAATCAGGAGAAACACGACCCATAAGTGGCTTCTTATTCATCGACCAGCTTATGTACCGCTTATAAACAGACCTTTTACTTTTGTAATTGTCGCTTTTATTTACACATCAGATCTGCATAAACTCCACTGGCCTGTCACGATATTGCAGTCATAGACATGGGTGAAAATGCGTACCGCCTGCAGTACAGACTACCCGCGTCGTGATCGTGTAGGAGAAACTGCCGATCTAACACGGCGCTAGAAATGTTACGAATCTGACGATGATGTGAATATTACAGAGGAATCAAGAAAATATATCGGATCATAAAGAGAAAATTATAAAGTCCAGCAGGAAGGCAGATTAAAATTTTATACTTACATTTTATGTCGAAATTGACTTTCTATTTTTAAAAAAAATAAATTATTAAAATTAAATTATAATAAACGCCTAACACACCTCAAAAGAATGATTATAAGAAATAAAATGTGCTTATTAGTGAAAACCAAAAGGATACAAACATAGAATGACTATTCCAAATATGGCTAAAAAGTCGGAACAGGGTGGAACTTAATCCCAGGTAAGTAGATTAACAAAGAACTTATAACTTGGTAAGGCCGTCGAAATCTGTAGGCCTCAAGTCCGCCTAAGAGCTTTGCTTTTCCCATGCGAGAGCGGAGTACACCGGACGCTAAGTAGAACTGAGTCCGCGCGTCGTCTTCAAATCCCACAGCGTGAGCCTAAAAGAAGAATGGCTAAAGTTTACAAGCCGTTCCCAAACTCGCAAGGGGCACATACTGACAGTGCTTCAGATTCTAATTGCAGAGATCGAACACGTTTATGCGCCAGTGAAGAAGTTCGCCAACCGCAACTCGCTAGAACGGAATTAAAATCGTAGGTTTGTGTGTATTAAACATGAAATATTCACTGCAGTAAAAATGCTATGTATGTTCCTACACGTCTACACGGCGTTATAATCTTTAATTCCAGTACAGACAGAATTAGAATACCTCTCCGTCGGCATAGGTTCCGAAGTACCAATCTTAATGGTTCAAAACCATTTTAACTGTAACTTTCTTACTAACGTTAAAAATAACGATCCGTCATTAAACAGAAAGTGACGGGACATCTGAACTTAACTCCAGGTCGCTTTCCCAGGATTTTTTAATCTTACAATCATCCTAGGGTAGCGAAATGAAACACAAATGTTTTATACGTCACGGAGTCCTGAAACTGCAGTCTTTCACAGCGACTGAATTCAATAAAGTTTCCTCGGAACATCGTCCGTGTCATAATGAGAAAGTTTCCAGTGTTTTTGATACTTTTTTTATTTTCATCAATCCCTGAAAATGGAAGCAGAGAACATGAGGTAAAACGCCCGAAGATCCATCAGTGAGCTGCGTATTTCAGTCAGAGGAGCCGTTCTCAGGCCGAAATTCGAACTAGTGCCTTCAGAGTAAGAGAGCCATCCGTTTATTTATTCTGTATACAAGCAGCATTATCAATAAAACAATTGCTGGTCTGGTTTTCGCCGTAGAAACATTTTCTCTTTAATAAAATAATATAATTTAAATAGTCCTCAGTTTTCGATTGCTTATTTAACGCAAAATTAGGCAATTGAGTCTCTGCAAACGTTTAATCTCCAACAATAATATCTGTAGAAACGAGGTAGTCTACAGCAGTTAATTTTCAATAATTGCTTATAATCTTACGCAATCGAGCTATATACAGAAACTGCTCCGTGAATCAGAAAACCTGACTTCGGAAATTTAATATAGAGTCTTGATTCGATCAGTCCCGGAGCTGATAGACTTAATAAAGGTGTCCTCGTGGGAATAAACACGAATGAAGACCCTTATTAAGAACAGATAACTTTATATGCTCCTTCCTCAACAGGACATATAAGAAGAGACTCTACTGTCCACTCCCAAGTCTCTAAGTAATTTCCTCCACTGAGGTTCAACAACCAAAGCAGATATGCATAACTAATCTCATGCAGCAGACACCTTGGGAAGATTCATGTACACCCAGTCATTTAAGAAATTCTGTGCGTTTTATGGAACCCGAATGTTCATTACCGTATTCACAAGAGCCGATCATCGGTTCCTATCCTGAGTCAGATAAACCAAGTGTACACATCCTCCCATATTCAATACCATTCACACATCTAAGTCTAGGTCTTCCTAGTGATTTCTTTCCTTCAGGCGCTCCAATCAACATTTTGTACGTATTTTGCCTCTCCATGAAGAATGCAATGTATGCAGTTCTTCGTTATGCACTTTTCTCCGGCCTCCTGTCACTTCATCCTTCTTTTGGTTTGAAGAACATGTCGCTATGTACAGTGTTTCCTGAACTCGCATCTCTGTGGTCCGTAGTGGCATGCTTCCTTTCCTCTGTGACCTGTTTCACCTACCCTTCTTTCGTCTAGCCTTGTATTAATCGACACATGTCAAAAAGTTATAACTTCCACCGTCTACGTCTCCGTCATCCCATGTGCATATCTCAGTACCGTATTACAACAGTTTTTAAACAACATTTTGTGTAATTTCTACGTGACCTTCAGGACATTAAATATTAATGTTATATAAGTAAAATTCCAGCTGAAATTACTAAATAGATCAGACTCCTTTACCTTCCGGTATCCTATCTAAGATATTCAATATTAAAATTAAAAAATTCTTATATGTGTTAAAAAACGGGGTTTCGGACGGCAAGAGTTGGTCTCAAGAGGTGAGCTTTTATGGAAACCGTAACGGAAAAAGTGGCATTTCAGGTTCTGAGAGCGGTTAAACAAAGACACCTGTCTTCTGGGATGATGCGACGTATTATCTCGCAGATATAGACCTACGTTTCAGAGGTGCTTATTGCCTTCGTCAGTACGATGACGAAGGCAGTAAGCACCTCTGAAACGTCAGCCAGTTCCTAGGAGACAACAGGATGCAACATCTATTTACAGTAAAACAATATATTACCCCTTAATAGGAATAACGTTCTCTGCTGCTGAGTCAGTACCAAGCGCACACGATATCTGTACGATTAAGTTGTAATTTTTAATACAAATTATGCACGAAACATCCTGAAGAAGGCGTTCTAAAACTGTGTCCTTACTTCAGGCTGTAGCGTTCACTTAGTCTTGTTAGTAAGACGGTTCGTTCTGTTACAGGAGAGACTGGAATAAAAGAAGATCCAGCCAGAGTGATGTCCAGCAGTGAAGAATGAGAATAGAAGTAACTCGATTGGTACTCTTCAGAATGCTGGATTCATGTATTTGAGTCGATTCATTCATCTCTAGCATCTCCACTTGTAATTAACTCACTTGACCTTAAAAACAGCGCTCATGGAAGGCAATGATTCTTTCTAATAACCATTTCTTTCTGTATTTACTTATTTTAAGAGAAACTAGATTTTTAAGTTTATGTTTCTCAGATACATGACAGGTATCACTGCTATGTGGCATAAACGTAAGTAAATTTTACTGGATCTAATTTCTGAGACACTGCACATAGGATTATGCATATGCAGCCATTGAAAGTCCACAGTACGGGCAAATACAACCTATTCTTACTATAAAGGTGGACTTCAAAGTTACAAATAGGCTGTAAAACATAAAAAATAATAATTATAAAGTATTTATATTTAATTAATAACACTTTAATATTATTAATACAAGCAATTTCTGATGCAAATAAATTTGATGAAAGTATAAATATTTGAAAGAAATAAAATCCTAAAATAAATTCAATTACAATAACTCATTTAGGCCGAAAGAATAACTTCTAGCAATCTTTGAATTTTGCAGGTAAGAAGTGCACATTCCCCTCTAATTTATTATTATCTATGGAATGCCCATTACAAGAAAATCTTATAATTCTGGAATTCCTGGTAATGACTAATTATCAGATGTTTATGGCAATATTAATAGCTGTAGGACATGAAGACTTCTTCATATGTCTACCTGATTTAGAAATAATTTTGCAGAAGCTCACATGACTGGTGAAAATTATTTTAAAGAGCATAAACTGTAAGAAAGTATAAATTTTGTCCACCATTTTTCGACGTTTTAAACACCAATGTTCGCCTATATTACATTTAGAAATTAGATTCCTGTCGCCAATAAAACAAGCCACAATTCTGCTGGAAACGTTAATGATATTAATAAAACTTAACGAAATTATCTGAATTAAATAGAGTTGTCGATCTATTATTTATAGAATAAAAATGACCTTCACCTTACTTCTAAGCTTCATCAACACACAATCTGAGGAGTTCTTTAAGAAAAACTATTATTTGTACATCCTTTGCAAAATCTGTAGATTTATTTACATAAATAATACAGGATCTTGTAATTCATGTAAGTTGGCAACATGAGTGTTGTATTTTATGCGAGAGAATTTACTGGAATTTTAATTTTTGTGAACATTACAAAGAAACTTACACGTTTCTCCTTGTAAAATGATAAGCCTATACGTAGTTTTAGTTGCACAATGAAGGTGTCAGAGAAGCCTCTGAAAACTGTTAGCATTACAGATGAACCTTCCACCCACAGCACGTAACAACTTCCTTGCCTCCATTTCTCGGTAATGCGTTTAGAACTTCTATGAGCGCTGTCGGTTGATAATTATGCTATCAAATATGACGAAGCACAGACGTTTTGAAGTCTCATGACACTTTAAGTTTCTCTCCTCCTACCCTAAAATAATTTACGGGAATGTATCTACAGCTGTTAAATAAAGTTTTGATGTCATGTACAAAGGCATAATATCTTCCCGCATGCTAATAATATACCTACAATAATAAGTAATTTAGTTTATAATTTTCTGCAAAATACCAAAGCATAAGAAAAGTCAGTTATATTTTGTGTCAAATAAATATTTATAATTAAACGAGTTGGAGTGTTAAATTATTTTATCGAATCTGTTAGCCTGTATCACTAGGAAATACATGAATAGTAGCAACTGCAACAGAAATGCGTCATCGATAATGAACAACGAAAAATGCCTTTCGTGAAAAAAAACCACAATTCTGATTTCAGGATTACCAGTCTTAAATAAATATGCTTACGAAGATTTTTTATCATTACAACCACTGATTGATTAATTGATTAAACCATTAAATTAAAAGGGATGATTATCATGACACGTAACTGGGTAAAAACTTTTAAAAGGCCATTTGTGGACTATTTTATGGTTTTAACCCCGCAGTAATGTTCCTTAATATATGGAGGTGAAATGTACTTACGTTTTTCGTAATACGTTTAACGTAATACACTAGCAAATTATACAAAAAGTATACTTAATTCAGATTGCATCTTTCTTTTGATAATAATTTCGATTTAGTGACTAAACGAAACCCAAAGAAATATTATTTTTGGCAATGTGCACTGTGAACAGCAGTAAGTCCATCCATTTTAGAAGAGTTGGGACAATGTCAACATAACTGGAATTAATTCTCTGATAATCTTTGATTTCTTATTAATTTTGAAGCGTCAGCTTCTATGGCTATTTGAAAGTATATAATTGGAGGCAGGTAAGCATCATTATTAATTAATTTACACCAACGTTTGACGCAAAATATATGAGCTACTGACAGCATCGTAAAATAAACCACAAATAAATACAATACATCATGTTTTCAACAGACCCACCACATGTATCAAAGTATGAATCATGTTCGAAGATTCAAATCCTACATGAATCATGTTCCTCTGAATACCTATTAGCATATCTGCGTTGAAGGATTTGTACTTCTTCAATTTAGTAAGTCATCGACTTCTTAGGTCTGCCACAAATTTTTCATTCATTATTTACATTTCATTATACGGTATAGGAAAATCCCATTAAGCTTCTGTCAGCATGGGTTACTACAGATTCCCCATACTGTAATTCGCTTGTAAGATAATTACTGCACGATATTATTTCAGGGAAAACACAAGATTCTTTTACTTTCCTATGCTTCCAGACGAACACATAGACAGCAATTTCGACTCTCTCCTTACAAATCCTTATCTACTGAGTATATATAAAAATTTATATATCTTATTAGATATTATATAACATTTAGTGCTCAATCAGCGTCGTTATACCACTTAAATTAATATCGAAAAAAGACTAAAAATAACCTACCCAGACACTTAAACGTTTGCAGTATCGGAGTTGTTACATCCCCACAATCCATTTGCGCTGCGGTCCAATGATACCGAGATACTCAGAGTCACACTACGTTAGGTGAAATGAATTGCGGTATGATCCCACGCATAGGGAGTATTACCGCTGACTGGTTTAACTCGAGAAATGGAATTGCCAAGAGGCTCGACGGTCAATTAGGTTACTTAACGACAATTTATCAACTAATGGTGTCATATATAATCCACAAAAGAGCACAGGTACTTCAAATTTAAATACAACGACACAATAATTTGTGACTTGGGGCAGTCCGTCGCCCACTTCGATTTTATGAAGTCGGTCATTTTACAAAGTTGTGACTGATATATTATATTAGGAGCAAAACCTAAACTACCCATACAAGTCAAATTGCTATTTACGTAACATAAATAACATTTTAGATAAGTTTCATCGCTGACGAGTGCATTAGTGTCGTCCAGATTTTATCACTAACTCATCCTTGTCATCTGCGACTGTTCCGCCAGGATTCTGTCAAGACAGAGGAGCAGCGACAGTTACATTTTGATCTTTTCTTCTTTCTTTCCATCTTCCTTTATTATTCACTTTCCTTACTTTCTTTTTATAACTTCTCTGAATTTTTCTATTTTGCATGTCTCTTCTTTATGCCCGTCTTTCGTGAATACTGACTCCATACATATTTAAAACGTATTCATACAGTCTGCTCTGCATTTGAGCTTTTCCAATAAAATACTCCATGCATACTTCCTTGGATTTCGCAAAATTGAAGCCTTTATACTTAGCACTCAATAGTATAACTAAAATGAATACCTCTTCTGCTCTAGAAGACAGGCACGCATTGTAGTGGCTCCCACAAAAGGCACAGATTCACGTGCATGAGTTTCGCCCACGACAGATCTTTTAAATGCCGTGACGCTACCAGATTACTGACACTGATCAAATGTCTGAGTACATAAATAATTTTATCCGTTGTTTTCCATGACTTATTAAAAATTTGCACGTTAATTCCAAGAACATCGATTACAAATTTCTCGAAACAAAGAAATACTACGTAGAATACTTAGAAAGAAGGAAATGAGTGTCTTTCTGATGCACCAAGTGCGTAATTTCAAGTCAGAAATCTGTTTGTATTTATTGGATTTAGGCATATTTAGATGTAATTAATATCTAACATCATCGGAAGACATAGTTTAGCGAAATAATAGGCGAACATTCTAATGTTTAGTGAAATAATTTACAGTCGCTTGGTAAAATAACGTCCTGAAATAAGTACTTTTTAAAACACTGATAAAGCACGACAGCGAAACTGTGGAAGGTTTGAAGAATCAAAGAGTATTATTCTCAAAAATTAGAACTTCATTAACCTTATCCGAATAGAAGTCTACACTAGACAAACACATGAATAAAAATTAAAAAAAAAACTGTAAAGTACGTAAGAAAATTTCGTTTTGTGATATAACTGAAGAGATTCTACTTGGATACGGAAAGACCAAGTAAGCAGTACGACCGAAGGTAACTCAAAATTATAAGCTTAAGGCAGAATAGTAAAAGATGAAGCAAAGTGGTGCTAGGACTAGTAATTTTGTGTTATAAAATATTAAATTCAATGACAAACTGGGTAGAAGACTGACCATTTAAACTACCCAAGCATAACCTTCAGATTTCAATACAAGAAAGATTAGAAGTTACCACTCATACGATATTTAATCACAGCAAAAGTAAGGCAATTATGAGCATTGGCGTGGTTACATCTAAGAAAGATCTGCGGTTCGAGGCTGCTAATCTGAAGGATGTAATGTACACAGCGGACTGTAACCATAAAACAGCAGCACGTGCACCACACTGGTGCAAAATATTTCGTGCGCATAGGATCGGCCACGAAAAAATAATCCCGACGTACAAAGGCTAGCACGCATTTCCTTTGATGCTGTTAGACAGCAGAGGTGTGTGGGAAGATATGGAAATATATTGGACACCGCGGGCCCTCTTTTCGTGATTTCAATTTCAACTGTCTTCTTTTATGTTCTAACCCGGCGCACACGGCTGTGATACGGGTGTACGTAACTCACTGTCCATCAAATATTGCAAAGAGGCTGATAGAAACAAAGAAACGTTCTATAGTAATAATATTAGAATGCTTGAAGATAAAAGTCTTTCTGAACTAAATCAGAAAGAGTAAATACAAGCATTTCTGTTTCAGTACCTAATATCTCGTATTTACGTCACTGTAGAGGCCTAATTCTAATGATTTTGAGGAATTCAAAAGAACTTCTACCCCTTTATTCTTCAGAACATGAATATTTATTTGATCGTCAGTAAATATCTATAAGGCAGTAAAATAATGTGACTCTAATTCCCGTCCGCACAAGACTTACTTGCCACCCAACAGGAAGAGACAACTTCAAGGACAGACGGAGGAATAATATTGAAGTATATTGGTCTGAATAGGTATAAGAAATGGTATGAGGGAGACATTTTTTAAACACTTGAATTTAAAGTTGTTTTCAACCCGTCGAATAAATATCAGTTCCTCGTGCAAGATCACTGAAGACGAAGGCGATGAATTCCCCAGAAACGTTTGTGAGAACAGCTACGAGACTGTACGGAATCACAACGCACAGCACCACAGTCGAAATCCCCACCGCTGTAATACGCAGATAATTTATCAGTCAGTATATTTATCCGACTCAGATCTTAATATTTTGTACAGTTGTCCACATTATTACCCCTTCAGCTCTTTAACAATAGCCAATTCTTTCTTTCGTTCTCCTTCACATTTCATGAAGACAATAATTATTACTGGTATATATTATTTAATCTTAAGTTATTTTATGGAGACAAGTGTTAATCATGGCTATTAGACTAACACAGTAGCTTCCGGTTGGGTCATCGGTTAATCGGGGCAGTCCTTTATTTGGGACAGATCTTAAAGAAAAAACCTTTTCAACACTTTACGTGGAACTTCTCATAATTTGGGCAGCCACTTAATTGGGCCAGAGTGTTCTAGTCTCAACGTCTCCCAATTAACCGGAATCCACTGTATTTAGACATATTTAGGATCAGAGGATAGGTGAGAAATATTAATTGTACGAAAGCCAGTTTACATATAAATTAATTAATTAAGAAGCAAATGAATATGCATAGATACTTTATATACCAAAGCAAATCGGTAAGTAGCAGCTTACAAGGAGCGTGTTTCGTGTTACACTGTTGCGTGTATGACATACTATTGTGATGTTTGAATTCTCTGAAGGCGTAACCTGAAGAACAGGAGGTTCTGACGAACCTCGAAATGAAGATGACATCCTTACATTGTGCATTAGTGTTCGATTAATTACCTGCCACGACCACAGATTGCAGCCTCTATTACAAAATCGATCTGGTCGCCAACTGTGTCCACTGCCACTAGCAGCTCCACACCGCGGGCTCTTCCTCCGGAGGTAGGGCTACCGGATTATGAAACTGACCAGCCACGTCAGCGTATCGAGCAAAATGTACGCCGAGGGGCCCATCAGATATGTCAAAATCTAACCGTAGAGAAAAGTAGTAATAACTAGCAGCCTTAAACCTGACGGGATTAGTAGAATAGTTAGTACACGAAGTGCTTACAGCTTCTTGATGGAAAACGTGTCACCTCGTCTGCTTTCTAGTTCCGGCATACCAACATACGTACGCATGTACATAAATACAGTGGAAGCGTAGAACTGGTTTCGGAATTACACATAATAGTCGGTTATTATTCATAAT